AAACAAAATAATTAGAAAAAAATTAAAAATTATTATAAACGAAAATATCAAGAAATTTATATACACAATTTGTATCAATATACATACATATGTAACTATTTACTAATATATTTGCAAACAYGTAAGCATATTGTCTTTCTTAAAGCCCGTTAGTAAGCAGTTGCACTTCAAACTCAGTCGACCCAACCGTTATATTATCTCAATGCCAGCAATAATATTGATATACTCGTTTGCATTGCATTATAATASAGCATGATTTTTATAAGTATATTGTAGCTTGTACATGCATGTAATCATCTGCATATTAACAATAAAATTTCCTTCCCTGCAATCGTTGAATGCGCATGCGCAAATGTATTTCAACTAATGTTTCACTCGAATAAGCAATTGCTCGATGTAGCATAACAGTTTCATAGTTATTTGCATATGCATATACTAATATGTACACAAATATGTATGAGTTAATTGCTGTTAAGAGTTAAATTGTTTATTTTTAGTAAAATATATTTCCGTGCTGCTCACGTTTGCACCGGYTCAACTTGTTTTATGTAACAAGAGTTATGACTACTAATAAAAATTTTTAGAATTCGTCCCTACAGAATAGAAGTTTTGGAGAGCAAAGAGCTGGTTTACACTAAATTTTCTACAACTTCTTATTCAAAAAATAAATTTTATATATTTTTATTATTATTATTATATTTAAGCGCTCATAGATTGGCTCGGTACGATATCCATCTAGGCATAAACTTATCTAAGAGTCTTTTGATTTCGACATAATTATATAATAATAAATTATAAGACCTCTTCTCTACAAGCGAATATCAAAAGAGAGCAAAACACAGTTAAAATTTTATTTAAGAGTCAGGTCAATTATATGCTGGTACTAGAGCTGAATGAGCTCAACTTTTGAGCCACTTTGTAGATCTTGTAAAAATAACCGATTTTGAGTTGCACACTTCTTTAGTTCAGCGACAGTTATTTTTCTGCTTACTTAAAGAATTATTCGGCTAAGGTTATCAACTTAATGGAATTATTTTGAGTTAAAATTATGTTTAGAAAGGGAAGTGCAACGATGTAAGTAATATGATTACAATAAGACCAAAATATACATATTATATGGTATTTCCGGAAAGATATCTTAGTTTGATTCTCTAAACACTAATACCCTTCAAAGCAGAATTTTTTATAGCATAAAAGGGTATAAAAAAATATTCATTTTGAATTTGATGAATCATTTGGTATGACAGCTACATACACAGTAGTGCAATTCAAGATGGACAATAATCTATAACAAATTCGTTGAAGATATCTTGCCAAGCAAAAAAGTTTTTCATATTGTGTTTGAAATTGTGTTAAGGTTCTCAACTTAATGAAATTATTTTGTGTTAAAATTATGTTTAGAAAGGGAAGTGCAACGATGTAAGTAATATTATTACAATAAGACAAAAATATACATATTGTATATATACATTCAAAGCAGAATTTTTTATAGCATAAAAGGGTATAAAAAATATTCATTTTGAATTTGATGAATCATTTGGTATGACAGCTACATACACAGGAGTGCAATTGAAGACGGACAATAATCTATAACAAATTCGTTGAAGATATCTTGCCAAGCAAAAAAGTTTTTCATAGAAGGACTACATTTTGATCGATCGGTTTGTATGACAGCTATATGCTATAGTAGTCCAATCTGAACAACTTTTGTAGCCCTGGCTTGGACAATAATCTATACCCATTTTCGTGAAGATATCTTGTCAAATAAAAAAGTTTTCATACAACGGCTGGCATTTGATCGGTAAGTTTGTATTACAGCTNCAATAATCTATACCCATTTTCGTGAAGATATCTTGTCAAATAAAAAAGTTTTCATACAACGGCTGGCATTTGATCGGTAAGTTTGTATTACAGCTATGTATATATGCCGTAGTAGTCCGATTTGATCTACATATATGCTATAATGGTCCGATATCGGCGATTCCGACCAATAAACATCTTCTTGAGATGAAAAGAATATAGCAAAATCTCACATCGTTTTTTTTTTCATTTTTTTTTTTTTTTTTAACATCTTCTTGAGATGAAAAGAATATAGCAAAATCTCACATCGTTTTTTTTTTCATTTTTTTTTTTTTTTGTAAACCATTATCTTATAAATCTAACGTAGATGCATAAATACGAATATATGTACATAGATACGTAACCCGATAAAAAGCAGATCAGTTACTTGAACACAAGACGCACAGTGGTGAGTGCGAATCCCAGCTTCTAAAATTATGGAAATCAGTGCCTGAGTACTGCTAAAAATACATATAATTCAAAACGTTATATAAATACGAATTAAATATACTAAAATTTTACAAATGCGCAATGATAAACACTGGCCCCCTGCGCCAAAAATCGCTGAGCCATGCAGCCGAACGCACTCGGCTATGCATGGTTAATATTGGAACAAGCAAAGAAACAAACATRTAAATCGAAAGGAAATTTGTTTAGCAAATAATTCACTTGCATAAATGAAAGAAAAACACGAACTCGCAATTTGACGGCGAGCAGCGGATTTGGCACGTAAAAGGCGGCGAACGTGTGAAAGAAAGCCAGCGGGCAATTACAGATGCTTGTGTGTGTGTGTGTATGAAATGTGTAAACATTGCGTGGCTGCTAAAATTTGCTTACATAAATGCAAAAGTAAACAAAATTTTATTTCTACAATTTGTGGGGGGAGGGGAATGCAGGCTGTATATCTGTGCATGAATGTAAGTGTGTATGTGTCTAGCTCACCTGTATCAGATACATTTTGTATGATTATGATGT